AGGGGGTCAAATTAAGGTTCAAAGTCCATCCATCCATGTTCTACCCTTTAATCCATTTCTGGGTCAGGGGTCAAGTCTCATAGCACCAGCCCCTCACTGACCCTCTGCAGGTGGTGAGTCCACAGGAGGACGGCTGCTCTCTGACTGTGAGCATAGCCTTGATCTTTCAGTGGGGGCTTTGGGCAAAGTGGGGTTAAGTGTCTTGCCCAAGGACACAACGACAGCAGTCATCAGTGGGAGTCGGTGGAGAAGGTGCAGAGGTGGGAATTGAACCCACAACCTTCTGGCCTTAAGGCCAATGCTCTACCAACTGAGCTACTGTTCAAAGTGCGCCAAGGTTCAAAGTGCAGAAGAAAAAAGAAATAAATAAGTGTGATTTTTTCTGAAAATCTTTGGGCAAAAACAATATAGGTTTCCATAGTAACCTATAGCACAAATAGGGCAATTCAATCCTCTGCATTTGACCCATCTTGATGCCACTAAGGTGGCAGTGGTCGCCATAGTAACAGTGTCCAGATGTTGATGCTCGGCTTGGTCAGGACCCAGGACCTTCTTGCTGAGAGGCGAGAGTGCTAACCACTCAGCCACCTGTGCCGCCCACCATTACAGCAGGTGTCCCTCTGGCCTCTGGCACGGATTTATCAGTGTTTGGGCACGTGCAGGTGATGTTATACATGTATTAGATGTTATACATGTATAACATACATGTATTAAATGTATTAAATGTATGTCATACATGTATTACATGTATAACATACATTTCACCGTCTCTACTGCAGGGCCATCCCAAAACCTTGCACTAAACTAAAAAAGACTACTATATTATTGTAGAAATGCACATGAAAGGACACATTTTAGGGAATAAAAGTAACGTATTGTTGTTTTTTTAGTATTTGGAAAATATTGTATCATGATAAAAGATGAATGCAGGTTGTTCCAACACACGTCACTAGGTGGCAGCATATGACATGGAAACTCTGTGGCTCTTCTTGGCCTCTCAATTTTACTGCAGGAAGATTCCATTTAAAAAGGACGTCAGGCTCTAAGCTTTCATTTGCTCTGGTATTTAATAAGCTTGACTATTTTAAATCAGAAAACACTTTACAATAGTATGGTCCCCTGGGCAATAGCACAGCATATAATATAATATAGAATAGAACAGAACAGAATAGATACTCTGGTTGGTCAATTTGATTTTGGGTTGGGCTTGGACCAGGGCCGGACAGGAAACAAGGCCGCTAGAACGTGCACAGGGATGGATGCGCGCACCCGTGAGTTATGGGATCCTAGATTGTTGGGATTGGATCGTAAACTGTGCTGCTGGTTTTTCAAAATAAGAACCCAAGCAATCAGCGTGGCCAGCATTCTCTGGTGGAGCATCTGCAGAACTATTGTAACGGGCCAATGGTGGAAGGAAGAGATGGTTCAATCTGAAGAGAGTACAGAACAGAACCCCGTATGGACCGGAACCCAGACCAGTAGACTGGGTCAGGCCTTGCACACATTTATTTCAATCCCACGTGATCTAAAAGAACAATTCAAAATAAATACAAACTGAGGCTATCCCAACTCCACCTGGTTTGTGGATATGGAATTTAATGTAGGGCTACACACACGCTATTCCTGGAAATATCTTCATATGAACAGGTGTTAAATGGGGACGAAACCGCCTGATTTTAATGTAACAAATACCGCGGGACAGAAGAATATACTTCATTTACATTGTTTAAGAGACGGGGTTCTTGTGCTGGGTCCATGGACTGTAAATATTAAATATTTGGTCCCACTTTCACTTTCACGAGATGGTTTTTTGTTTTATGGTGAAGGTCTTCGCCGGAAGTGCCGTTTGGGTCTGCGCTCTTGACGCACGGCGGAGTGCGCCTGGATCAGTTCGGCTGAGCTGGTGAAGGGAAATCGGGAAAACTGGAAACTGGGGAGAGGGGACTCGGTCGTGACCGGGACTGAACCGACTGGCACCCCGACACAGGGCTGTCCTTTGGGGATTTAGCCTTCCGTAGCTCCGTTTAGGATTCGCAGCTGGGTCTCCTGGGTCTCCTGGGTCCACCGCACTGTGAGTAGCTCCTCATCCTTAGCCTACATTCACCCTTGTGTCTGTCTCAGCTCATGTGTCTTTGAGGACGTGTGTTTTAAATGCTTTACTCTGATTGTGTGGAATATGTGCCTAAAACACTGCACAAAGCCTTGGTTTAGCATCAGCTGCAGCAGGAGCCTGTGATCCCGTTAGGCTGATGTCTATGCAGAGAAAGGGGAGGTGGGGGGTCAGCCCGGAACGACGTTTGGAGATAAAAGGCTTTCATGTTTAGGACTGGGCACAGGTCTGTGTCATTGCACACTGCAGCTCGTAGATATTTGCACCGAGAGCTCTGTCTTTGGCCTGATTCTCTTCTCCCGGTGCAGCCCCGGTTTACTGCGCCCTTTCAGCCACCGGGATATTTGCGTTTTTACTGCTGCAGCTTTGGAGGCCAAGCGTGCTGAGCCGACACAGGCTGAGCCGACACAGGCTGAGCCGACACAGGCTGAGCCGACACAGGCTGAGCCGACACAGGCTAGGCGTGGCATTCATATAGCATTACACACGTATGGGCGTGTTCTCAGCAGCTGCCACAACTCACTTTCACATGTATGACCCCGCTGCACTGGGCAAAGACCCCTTCACCTCAGAATATGAATCAAACCGTGGACTTCTTCCTTCAGACTAGAACACATTTACAATTCCACATCCTCAGACACACAGGCCTCAGCCTCAGTTTACTGTTTGTCTGCATTTATCACTGAAGCTTATGGTCCTTGTGTTTGTTCCATTCGTAAAGACCTAACTACACTGGGAAATGTCAGTGTTGTAAGGCACAGTACAAAGCAGTGGGAATAGTAAGCATTATAAACCAGATGAATACCTGAAGCACTCTCAGAAAATAGATTTAAACAGATGCCAGGATACTGGACTTAACTATTAATAAATGAAATGTGTGCCGGCATGTAAGAAAGTACATATAGAAAAGACAATACAACAAGAATATTTGGGTGCATTTAACATAAATGCTTTCATATTTGGAAAGTCTACCTAATTGTAACATTAGACGCTTTTACCATCTGAATATAATAATCAAAAATACAGTGTCTAAAGCAGACTCATTATCTGTGCTTTTGTCTCCGGTTAGTTAGACTGTTACGGTCTGCTCACAGGTCTCTCCACACAGGCCGTAAACACTGCAGCTCCAGTCCTGACTAGAACCAGGAAGTACGACCACATTAGTCCTGACTGGAACCAGGAAGTACGACCACATTAGTCCTGACTGGAACCAGGAAGTACGACCACATTAGTCCTGACTAGAACCAGGAAGTACGACCACATTAGTCCTGACTAGAACCAGGAAGTACGACCACATTAGTCCTGACTAGAACCAGGAAGTACGACCACGTTAGTCCTGACTAGAACCAGGAAGTACGACCACATTAGTCCTGACTAGAACCAGGAAGTACGACCACATTAGTCCTGACTAGAACCAGGAAGTACGACCACATTAGTCCTGACTAGAACCAGGAAGTACGACCATATTAGTCCTGACTAGAACCAGGAAGTACGACCACATTAGTCCTGACTAGAACCAGGAAGTACGACCACATTAGTCCTGACTAGAACCAGGAAGTACGACCACATCAGTCCTGACTAGAACCAGGAAGTACGACCATATTAGTCCTGACTAGAACCAGGAAGTACGACCACATTAGTCCTGACTAGAACCAGGAAGTACGACCACATTAGTCCTGACTAGAACCAGGAAGTACGACCACATTAGTCCTGACTAGAACCAGGAAGTACGACCACATTAGTCCTGACTAGAACCAGGAAGTACGACCACATTAGTCCTGACTAGAACCAGGAAGTACGACCACATTAGTCCTGACTAGAACCAGGAAGTACGACCACATTAGTCCTGACTAGAACCAGGAAGTACGACCACATTAGTCCTGACTAGAACCAGGAAGTACGACCACATTAGTCCTGACTAGAACCAGGAAGTACGACCATATTAGTCCTGACTAGAACCAGGAAGTACGACCACATTAGTCCTGACTAGAACCAGGAAGTACGACCATATTAGTCCTGACTAGAACCAGGAAGTATGACCACATTAGTCCTGACTAGAACCAGGAAGTACGACCACATTAGTCCTGACTAGAACCAGGAAGTACGACCACATTAGTCCTGACTAGAACCAGGAAGTACGACCACAGGGGGAGCACAGGGACTGGCCTCCTGCTGGTCCCAGAGTCAGGACTAAAAGGTGGAGGCTGCTAAAATCCTGAAAACGTGAGACAGGCTTCTACTCTGATGTTTTCCAGGTTTGAGACAGTTGTCTGTAGCTGTGCAGAAAACTGAAGGATTGTATCTTTTCTTTTATTGTTCTGTGATTATTTAAACAAATAAACCTCTGAGTCTGAGGCCGTAGCTTTTTGATCACCGGCTACATTCAATGACGTTGTTTTGGAAATCCACAGTCTCCTGTATTTATTCAGTGTTTGCTCTGGGTCTTTGCTGATTTCTCAGTTTAAATCATGGCTCAGCTTAATTTGCGTCGACGATGAAACTCCTCCAGTGTCTGTCGTAATGCTAGGCCCATCACAGCTAATGCTAGGCCCATCACAGCTAATGCTAGGCCCATCACAGCTAATGCTAGGCCCATCACAGCTAATGCTAGGCCCATCACAGCTAATGCTAGGCCCATCACAGCTAATGCTAGGCCCATCACAGCTAATGCTAGGCCCATCACAGCTAATGCTAGGCCCATCACAGCTAATGCTAGGCCCATCACAGCTAATGCTAGGCCCATCCAGCCTCACAGCTAATGCTAGGCCCATCACAGCTAATGCTAGGCCCATCACAGCTAATGCTAGGCCCATCACAGCTAATGCTAGGCCCATCACAGCTAATGCTATGGAGCCTGAAAATATCTCAATGACCTACATGTACTCACCAGTCAGTCTGTAGGTCCACGTCTGTAGGTCCACTTCATTAGGTCCACTTCTGTAGGTCCACATGTGTAGGTCCACTTCTGTAGGTCCACTTCTGTAGGTCCACATCTGTAGGTCCACATCTGTAGGTCCACTTCTGTAGGTCCACATCTGTAGGTCCACTTCTGTAGGTCCACTTCTGTAGGTCCACATCTGTAGGTCCACTTCTGTAGGTCCACTTCTGTAGGTCCACTTCTGTAGGTCCACTTCTGTAGGTCCACATGTGTAGGTCCACTTCTGTAGGTCCACTTCTGTAGGTCCACTTCTGTAGGTCCACATCTGTAGGTCCACATCTGTAGGTCCACTTCTGTAGGTCCACTTCTGTAGGTCCACTTCTGTAGGTCCACATCTGTAGGTCCACTTCTGTAGGTCCACTTCTGTAGGTCCACTTCTGTAGGTCCACGTCTGTAGGTCCACATCTGTAGGTCCACTTCTGTAGGTCCACTTCTGTAGGTCCACATCTGTAGGTCCACTTCTGTAGGTCCACTTCTGTAGGTCCACTTCTGTAGGTCCACTTCTGTAGGTCCACATCTGTAGGTCCACATCTGTAGGTCCACTTCTGTAGGTCCACATCTGTAGGTCCACTTCTGTAGGTCCACGTCTGTAGGTCCACATCTGTAGGTCCACTTCTGTAGGTCCACATCTGTAGGTCCACTTCTGTAGGTCCACTTCTGTAGGTCCACGTCTGTAGGTCCACATCTGTAGGTCCACTTCTGTAGGTCCACATCTGTAGGTCCACTTCTGTAGGTCCACTTCTGTAGGTCCACTTCTGTAGGTCCACATGTGTAGGTCCACTTCTGTAGGTCCACTTCTGTAGGTCCACATGTGTAGGTCCACATCTGTAGGTCCACATCTGTAGGTCCACATCTGTAGGTCCACATCTGTAGGTCCACTTCTGTAGGTCCACATCTGTAGGTCCACATCTGTAGGTCCACATCTGTAGGTCCACATCTGTAGGTCCACTTCTGTAGGTCCACTTCTGTAGGTCCACTTCTGTAGGTCCACATCTGTAGGTCCACATCTGTAGGTCCACTTCTGTAGGTCCACTTCATTAGGTCCACTTCTGTAGGTCCACTTCATTAGGTCCACTTCTGTAGGTCCACTTCATTAGGTCCACTTCTGTAGGTCCACTTCTGTAGGTCCACTTCTGTAGGTCCACTTCTGTAGGTCCACTTCTGTAGGTCCACATCTGTAGGTCCACTTCTGTAGGTCCACTTCTGTAGGTCCACTTCTGTAGGTCCACATGTGTAGGTCCACTTCTGTAGGTCCACTTCTGTAGGTCCACATGTGTAGGTCCACATCTGTAGGTCCACATCTGTAGGTCCACATCTGTAGGTCCACATCTGTAGGTCCACTTCTGTAGGTCCACTTCTGTAGGTCCACTTCTGTAGGTCCACTTCTGTAGGTCCACTTCTGTAGGTCCACATCTGTAGGTCCACTTCTGTAGGTCCACTTCATTAGGTCCACTTCTGTAGGTCCACTTCATTAGGTCCACTTCATTAGGTCCACTTCTGTAGGTCCACTTCTGTAGGTCCACTTCTGTAGGTCCACTTCTGTAGGTCCACTTCATTAGGTCCACTTCTGTAGGTCCACTTCTGTAGGTCCACTTCTGTAGGTCCACTTCTGTAGGTCCACTTCATTAGGTCCACTTCTGTAGGTCCACTTCTGTAGGTCCACTTCTGTAGGTCCACTTCTGTAGGTCCACATCTGTAGGTCCACTTCTGTAGGTCCACTTCATTAGGTCCACTTCTGTAGGTCCACTTCTGTAGGTCCACTTCTGTAGGTCCACTTCTGTAGGTCCACTTCTGTAGGTCCACTTCTGTAGGTCCACTTCTGTAGGTCCACTTCTGTAGGTCCACTTCTGTAGGTCCACTTCTGTAGGTCCACATCTGTAGGTCCACTTCTGTAGGTCCACTTCATTAGGTCCACTTCTGTAGGTCCACTTCTGTAGGTCCACTTCATTAGGTCCACTTCATTAGGTCCACTTCATTAGGTCCACTTCTGTAGGTCCACTTCATTAGGTCCACTTCTGTAGGTCCACTTCTGTAGGTCCACATCTGTAGGTCCACTTCTGTAGGTCCACATCTGTAGGTCCACTTCTGTAGGTCCACATCTGTAGGTCCACTTCTGTAGGTCCACATCTGTAGGTCCACTTCTGTAGGTCCACTTCTGTAGGTCCACGTCTGTAGGTCCACGTCTGTAGGTCCACGTCTGTAGGTCCACGTCTGTAGGTCCACGTCTGTAGGTCCACTTCTGTAGGTCCACGTCTGTAGGTCCACGTCTGTAGGTCCACATCTGTAGGTCCACATCTGTAGGTCCACGTCTGTAGGTCCACATCTGTAGGTCCACGTCTGTAGGTCCACTTCTCTAGGTCCACATCTGTAGGTCCACTTCTGTAGGTCCACTTCTGTAGGTCCACTTCTGTAGGTCCACTTCTGTAGGTCCACTTCTGTAGGTCCACTTCTGTAGGTCCACTTCTGTAGGTCCACGTCTGTAGGTCCACTTCTCTAGGTCCACATCTGTAGGTCCACTTCTGTAGGTCCACTTCTGTAGGTCCACTTCTGTAGGTCCACTTCTGTAGGTCCACTTCTGTAGGTCCACTTCTGTAGGTCCACATCTGTAGCTTGGTTTCAGCTTCTGGAATAAAATACATTCGTGAAATAAAAGAAGCAGGAGAGATTAGTATTAGTAAGATGGCGTCTATGAGGAATTATAAAGTGTGTACTTCTAGTGTGAAAAGACAACCTTATGATTTAGTGTATTCTTTTAATGGATAAATAATAAAAATAAATATAATCGAGAACGAGCACACCTGTGTGACCTACATATATTATTATTAAAAATACAGTAACATACACATCATATGCACTTCTGCACAAGGCTGTGGGAAATGTCTGATTTTTACACTTTTAAATCCAAATTCTGTTTTTTTTGTGTGAGGGGAGGAGCCTAATTTCCCGCAATGACCTCCGTCACATCTGTTCCTCAGGATGTTTTCTGACGTGATGTGGAAGGTCAGTCTGGGCCATGTGATGTTGTTGCTGGTTTGTTTTTGCCTTCTCTTTGCTTTTCTTCATTAAACGTTACTTTTATGGTAAAGTCATCACGAGTTGTTGAAATTCCTCCCGATTCCTTTGGGAAGTCTGATGGAGAAAGCAGCGACAGAGTGGGACGTCCCAGGTCTGGATTTCTTCATCTAGTCTTTTTCTTGTTGTTTTCCCAGTGCGTATTTGGAATCGATCATTTTCTTCTTTTGAGTCACGTTTTGTGTAATATTTGAGTTTATTGTACTCGGATACATTTGTTAGTTTAGACATGGATAGTTCTGTCGTTGTTGTGGTTTGTGTGAAGCCAAACTGTGACGTAAACTCAGTCCATCCTCAGAGAACATGGGGAATAAAAACACATTTGTATTTGTTTTTGAGCTTCAAGTGTAAAAGCTGCTTTGGCTGAAGCTCTGTTTGGAAAAACTGCTTTTTCTGCCGTTTAATGTTGAACCGACCACGAGTCTGTCCTGTCTCTGCCTCCTACACACGCAGCATGTTTATATTCATGTTTATTACTGATGTTATTACTGTTATTATCATAGTTTTTACTAATGATTTACTGTTATTACCATAGTTATTACTCATGTTTTTACTAAAATTACTAGTCTTATTAGTAATGTTTTTTACTCATGTTTATACTAATGGAAGATCCAGGTGAGGTCCTGAAACCAACGTCTTCTCCGTATGTCACTAACTCATAATACTAAACTTTTGGAGTAACTTGGATGTAACTATTCTCCGATAATAATAATAATAATATTAATATCCATAATAATGTTGATTTACAAAAGCAAAAGGATCTGATGATTTTTGAAGAATATTCTATTTTTCTGATTTTCACTTAGGTGCAGATGATTTCCCGATTAAACATTATTAGAATTATTTCTTTACGATTGTAGTGTGGAACATGATCATGTGATTCAATAATATGAGGTCAAAGCAGAGGTCGAAGGTCAAAGATTCCGTTAGTCGTGTGGACATTCTTCACATTCTCCCAGTGACGAACACGGAAGTGTCGGAAAACTCAGAGTTTGGTGAAGTCTGAGTTATTACCTCATCAACAACCACAGACGTCTGTTGTATTTAACAATAATCAGAATTATCGATTAGTTTATCCATCCATCCATTTTCTTCCCCTTAATCCATGTCTGGGTCGGGGGTGGCAGTCAGAGCACCAGCCCCTCACTGATCCTCTGCAGGAGCTGAGATCTTACAGAGGGGGTTTCAGGCAAAGTGGGGTTAAGTGTCTTGCCCAAGGACACAGCGACAGCAGACATCAGTGGGAGTCGTGAAGTACTAGTAGGTCTTACAGAGGGCTTGAACCCACAACCTTCAGACTTAAAGGACTGTGGCCTCTATAGTTTGACAATAATTAATGATATTGATTGGTTTGGAAACATTAATGAACAAAACCAAAGCTTATTTTGGACTAGTTCTAACGCGGTTAGTTTTGGACCAGAATCACAATGAATTATTTCGACGTGACAATCAGCTCTGCTTCACTCTGATTATAAACAAACTCTGGAAATACACCATTTTGGAAATACATTAAACTGTGATTTTTGTCTTTTGGGCAATATTTATTTTCTTTGTCGCGTGTCTTTTGCAAACGACTCAAGAAGAATGAACATTTTAGAGAAAAATAAAATATGAGCAGGAAGAAGTTTTATCTACAAGTATAGGACATTTCATGCTTTTGTCTTCCAATTACATACTATTTTAATTTAAACACAACTATTTCCATCATCTCGTCCACGAAGAACTTTCAGACTGATTTCAGCTTTTGTCTTCGCACCAATATTTAATATAAACCTTGTCCCGCCCATCTCTGTGTGGAGCGAGAAGAACAACTACAACTGTAAAGTGCTTTGTGACCGGTCTGTGAAGGCGCTATATAAATAAATATATAACTTACTATTTACTGGACCGAGACCATTCTCCCAAACTGTGAACTGTAAATAACTATTACTACTATCTAAATATGGACCAATATAAATCCTCCCTGCTCTTGACTTTGATTTGCTCGTTTTGAAGTCGCTCTGGTGTGTGTTGTGTGCGTGCTTGTTGTCGTGCACATCCTGATGTTGTGTTGCTGTGTCTCTGGTTAATGCCACACAGATGTAGACTCTGCTGTTTTCGCACAAACCACGTTTTAGGAAAAAGTTAATCTCATTAGTTTCTTCTGCCTCCCTTCACATTTCTCTCGATCGGTTTTGTTTTTTGTTTCACTGAGTTTCTTCGTTGTTGCCAAAACACTTTGTAGACTTTTCCTCCGTCAGGTTCGAGGAGGCGTCTGTGCAGCTGGAATCAGGAGCGTCGTCTCCGCACACGTCCTTCAGCTCCACAGCCCGTGCTAATGTTTAGAGTGTTCACCTTAGGGCTGGAACTAACCATTATATTAGTTTCTCAAGCGTTCTTTTGATTTATTTACTTAAATTGTTGAAATTAGGGATTTTTCTTAACAAACTAAAGCGATGCCACTTTTAAACCACAAAATATGTAACTATGTAATATAATACATTTCAATAGTTTAGTTTTATTACTAGTTTTTACATGTGGCAGAGTGGTTAGCACTCTCGCCTCTCAGCAAGAAGATCCTGGGTTCAAATCCCGGTCAAAATCAGGATGGGTCAAATGCAGATACGGGGATCAATAAAGTGCACCTTTACCTTTGTTTAGTTTTGCCTCTGTCACAGCTTTAGACTGCTGTGGTCTGATTGGTTCAAGGCTCTTTCTGTTGGAACAGAATATATTAAAAAGGAGAAAATCCAAAGCAGAAAGTTAGGTACCCAGTCGTCATAATCACAAAAGAATAATATGATAATATGTGAAAAAAGGCAGGACTCTAAAACACTGAAATAGTTTGTCTTGATCTATTTTACGCCAATTTGATCCAAAAGATCCTCAAGAGAGCAGCTTCACCACGTACAGGAAGGACGAAGATGAAGACAATGGACTGGACGGTGAAGGGGTTAATCATGTTGTAATGTAGCGTCACATGAAACATATTTGACTGATTAATAATGTGTGTGTAAAGAATCGCACACATTTGTAAAGGGCGGAACCACACAGAAGTGTTCACACAGGATTAATATTTAACAGAATATTTGAGTTCAAACTGGACAAAAGATACAGTTTGTGCATTTTATGATCAAAGAAATCTACCTTTTATGTTTTTATAGCAGGGGTTTATACTACGACCCCCTGCGCCTCAGCGGACTGGGGGAACAGGACAGGAAGACACGATGATAGTGCGTGTTTCGCTTTCTGTGACGAGAAAGGACTTTGCTAATATTCTTTACGAGACTTTGCTGATTACAGCCTGAGCTCCACAGACTGAGATCAGTGCTGTCATTACGGTGTGATCGCTTTGAGCTCTCAGTTAAATCTGGGTTTGGTTTGCAGGAGGAACCGCAATCAAATAGTCACAATTATCACTTGAATGGTTTATCTCCTGTTTATCTCCTGTATAACTCCTGTATAACTCCTGTATAACTCCTGTATGCTTCAATACCATGTAGAACAGATGCAGCCAAAACACAGTCCTACTTTCAAACCTTGTCTATCATAAATCTAATCTTAATCTTAATCTAATCAAAATCTAATCTTAATCTAATCTAAATCTCAGGTAAATCGATGTTGGCCTTTGACCAAAGCCGTGCCGTCGTCTCTACTGCGACCTGTGGCCGTGACAGTGCAGCCTGTGTTTCCGTGGCTAATGCAAAGCCCATATGTTGTGACGTGAGGCGGCAGGTTCCACGTGTTGTGACGTGAGGCGGCAGGTTCCACGTGTTGTGACGTGAGGCGGCAGGTTCCACGTGTTGTGACGTGAGGCGGCAGGTTCCACGTGTTGTGACGTGAGGCGGCAGGTTCCACGTGTTGTGACGTGAGGCGGCAGGTTCCACGTGTTCTGACGTGAGGCGGCAGGTTCCACGTGTTGTGACGTGAGGCGGCAGGTTCCACGTGTTGTGACGTGAGGCGGCAGGTTCCACGTGTTGTGACGTGAGGCGGCAGGTTCCACGTGTTGTGACGTGAGGCGGCAGGTTCCACGTGTTCTGACGTGAGGCGGCAGGTTCCACGTGTTGTGACGTGAGGCGGCAGGTTCCACGTGTTGTGACGTGAGGCGGCAGGTTCCAGGTGTTCTGACGTGAGGCGGCAGGTTCCACGTGTTCTGACGTGAGGCGGCAGGTTCCACGTGTTGTGACGTGAGGCGGCAGGTTCCACGTGTTGTGACGTGAGGCGGCAGGTTCCACGTGTTGTGACGTGAGGCGGCAGGTTCCAGGTGTTGTGACGTGAGGCGGCAGGTTCCAGGTGTTGTGACGTGAGGCGGCAGGTTCCACGTGTTGTGACGTGAGGCGGCAGGTTCCAGGTGTTGTGACGTGAGGCGGCAGGTTCCAGGTGTTGTGACGTGAGGCGGCAGGTTCCACGTGTTGTGACGTGAGGCGGCAGGTTCCACGTGTTGTGACGTGAGGCGGCAGGTTCCACGTGTTCTGACGTGAGGCGGCAGGTTCCACGTGTTGTGACGTGAGGCGGCAGGTTCCACGTGTTGTGACGTGAGGCGGCAGGTTCCACGTGTTGTGACGTGAGGCGGCAGGTTCCACGTGTTCTGACGTGAGGCGGCAGGTTCCACGTGTTCTGACGTGAGGCGGCAGGTTCCACGTGTTCTGACGTGAGGCGGCAGGTTCCACGTGTTGTGACGTGAGGCGGCAGGTTCCACGTGTTGTGACGTGAGGCGGCAGGTTCCACGTGTTGTGACGTGAGGCGGCAGGTTCCACGTGTTGTGACGTGAGGCGGCAGGTTCCACGTGTTGTGACGTGAGGCGGCAGGTTCCAGGTGTTCTGACGTGAGGCGGCAGGTTCCACGTGTTGTGACGTGAGGCGGCAGGTTCCACGTGTTGTGACGTGAGGCGGCAGGTTCCACGTGTTCTGACGTGAGGCGGCAGGTTCCACGTGTTCTGACGTGAGGCGGCAGGTTCCACGTGTTCTGACGTGAGGCGGCAGGTTCCACGTGTTGTGACGTGAGGCGGCAGGTTCCACGTGTTGTGACGTGAGGCGGCAGGTTCCACGTGTTGTGACGTGAGGCGGCAAGTTCCACGTGTTCTGACGTGAGGCGGCAGGTTCCACGTGTTCTGACGTGAGGCGGCAGGTTCCACGTGTTCTGACGTGAGGCGGCAGGTTCCACGTGTTGTGACGTGAGGCGGCAGGTTCCACGTGTTCTGACGTGAGGTGGCAGGTTCCACGTGTTCTGATGTTATGGCTTTGAGGACCTGCTCCCGGGCTTCTGCTTTCCTCTGCTCCCTCGGACTAATATTTTTAAAACGCAGGAGAGCTGGAGTCGTTCCAAAACCACAGCAGCTCCCATGTGCCGGCTACGCTTCAGAGAATATGGAAACTATTTGAGCCTCCGTCTGTCTTTCACCTCGGCTGAATCCAAAACGGTGAACTTGAAGAGCGATGGTGCACGTTGGTGTCAAGGGGAGGCACAGTGGGATCAGCTGGAGCACCAACCGCCGTGTCTACCGTTAAGAAATTCAACATAAATCACTAATTCTATTCACATCAAATCTTACACATCAGGAGCAGCCAGAAAAACCACTTTGGAAAAATCAGCGGATGGAAAGTGACGAAGCTGCACACGTCAGTAAATACTGCGTAGGTGTATGAATGGGCCACTCAACCGCGGCTCATTTTAGCATTTAGCGTTTGGTTTGACCCGGTTGGTCTCATTTCGGGGTCACAGGAAGAGCCCGAAGCCAGTTTTCTGGAGTGGCCTCTGCACGAAGGAAACTGTAAAAGATCAGACACGACCCCGACCGTGTCCAGGAGAGCGGCGTCTTCTGTTTGTGATTAGTGAAAACGCTGAATCATGAGCACGGAAGTGTGTTTGGAAACGGACCAATTACCTAACGACATGGATTAGGGATGGAGCAAAACGCAATATCTGTTTGTGGTACATCGTAGAATACTATAACTGTCACTCCACCAGCAGAACAATATATGTATGCAGGATCGATTTAAGTGATTTTTGATAATTATTTACTTTTATTGTAATGAATGTACTGTAGTGAATAGTTGTTTACATATGGAATGTGCCATACCCTGCCAAATCCATATAAATATACTATTCTTTCAGTTAGTTCAATAACCTAAGTGCAAGAAGTGAAAGAAGAAAGTGTAAATGTTGAGCTAAGAGTCTGTTTTCAGTGAATTATCCATTTTATCCAGTTTGTTATAAATGGTGAAGCATTCTCTATATTTAGCTTCTAAAAATCGCCATCTTCACGTCTGTCACGGCGCATTATTAGATGTGACTTTGGCTCCTTGTTATGTCCAAACTCTGCAGGTTGGCACAGACTCACCGCCACAAGCTCGTAATTGCAGTTATGACATTTCGTCTACAGCCCATTTCAACACACAGAATGAGCTAATGTCTTAATTCTTTTTTTTAACCAAACAATTATTCCTATGTCCAGGATTCTCAGGTCGTCGCATGGAACAGCGAACTCTCTGAATCTGATGCTTTAGAGCACAAAACAACCCACTTTTCGGACTTAGTTTTTCATATACCCGCATGTTTAAGTGTTGTTTTGCCCATAAAGAGCCAACTTGTTTGAACTGGATGTGCACTAATGTTTTAGTTGCTGAGTCAGAGCCCGTCACCTTCCTTCACTCTGTCATTACCTGATTAAGTCCATACTTGTGTGTAAATATGTCTCAGCATGTTGTACTTTTCTGTGCTACCAACTCCTTTTCACAGCCTTAAGCTACGTTCGCTTTAATGCGGCTGTTATACACGACTGGGAACATTAATAACATTCAACCACACGCTGTTTCCAGGATCTGCTCCTGGTACGGACCATGTGGAGCCTCTGGGATTATTTGCTGTTGAGACGGTGGCGCTGGTTCCTACCACAGTTTTAGTTCCTGGCAGCTCTCATTTCAACTTGTGGACTGAAGGAATGACACGTTTGGAAAATCTTGAACACATGTAGCGCGATTGTCTCAGTGTTGATGTTGCTCAAAGCTGTTATTTTTCTTTTTATTTAGTTATTATTTATTTAGAGTTTATAGATATTGCTCATTTTCTGCTCCAGTCCCTAGGCCTTTTCAATATAATCTTAAAACTTTCCCTTAACTCCAGAAGTGAACATTTTAAACTCTGTCATGGTTTAAATTCAGTAGGTCATGAGTTCCACAACTTTAAGTGTCTAACTTTGACTCAAAATCTAATGTTTTTCCCAAAAGAAAAGGTAAAATACATTCTCCATTGTAGTGGAAACAGATGTTATTTGTTGTCACTAATGGATGCTTTGAGCTGATTGGCTGAACAAGTAAAGATGTGATGGATCTAATCTTTAGTGTTTTTACAGTCGCAGAAGGAGCTGTGTGTCGTGGCAGGATACACAGATCAATAATAACATGTTTAATTATGTCTGAACATGAAAGAAACATCAATGAATAAAACACATATTAATGATTCTTAATTGAAACGACTGAGCACACTGCGACATGTGTGTGCTCATATCGGCCTTGTTTCTTTTGGAGGGGGTAGGAGTGGGGGGGGTACACTCTGTGGTGCAGTGGTTGGGGGTAGGAGTGGGGGGGTACACTCTGTGGTGCAGTGGTTGGGGGTAGGAGTGGGGGGGTACACTCTGTGGTGCAGTGGTTGGGGGTAGGAGTGGGGGGGTACACTCTGTGGTGCAGTGGTTGGGGGTAGGAGTGGGGGGGTACACTCTGTGGTGCAGTGGTTGGGGGTAGGAGTGGGGGGGGTGCAGTGGTTGGGGGTAGGAGTGGGGGGGTAGGAGTGGGGGGGTACACTCTGTGGTGCAGTGGTTGGGGGTAGGAGTGGGGGGGTAGGAGTGGGGGGGTACACTCTGTGGTGCAGTGGTTGGGGGTAGGAGTGGGGGGGTAGGAGTGGGGGGGTACACTCTGTGGTGCAGTGGTTGGGGGTAGGAGTGGGGGGGGTGCAGTGGTTGGGGGTAGGAGTGTGTAGTATCCAGTGGAAAGATGAGTGTGTGGCTCTGACCTTGTTTCAGTCACTGCTGAGTAAAAGAGTAAAGCTCTGGGCTGTGATTCTTTCTGACAGGTGTGTGTGTGTGTGTGTCTGTGTATGTGTGTGCGTGTGTGTGCGTGTCTCGGTGTGTGTGCTTATGTGTGTATGTGTGTGTCTCTGTGTGTATATGTGTGCGTGTGTGTGTGTGTGTCTCTGTGTGTGTGTATGTTTGTGTGTGTGTGTGTGTCTCTGATCAGCTGCATTTCCATGTGACACTGTAGATCAAAGGGTTCTTATGTGGATTCAGACAAACTCAGCTGCATCTGAAGCATAAAGAATCTGACTTTATAACTTCTGGAGAATTTAGTTTTTTTATCTTTTTCATCTTGTGAAAAAACTTAAACTCAAATTGGGCTTTTTCTTTTGAAATAAATTTTGTCTTTCTTTTAAAGCAAAAAAGCAGCTTGTCACTGCAACATTTGTATCTATTTTAGACTATGGAGACCTGCTGTACATGAACGCGTCTGCTCAATGTCTACACAAGATTGACACTGTATATCATGCTTCTCTGAGGTTCATTACTAACTGTAGGGCCTTGACCCATCATTGTGAGCTGTATTCTCGAGTGGGATGGCCTTCTTTGTCCTCCAGGAGGCAGAGTCATTGGTATACTTTTATTTATAAAGCCATGCTTGGTCTACTGCCCTCTTACATCTGTAACCTAATCTCACGGAGGAGCGTTGGCTCTTATAGTTTGCGTTCAAATGATCATTTGTTGCTCACTGTTCCATTTGCCCGTTCAGAACTGGGAAAAAGGGCATTTGTTCACTCTGCTCCTTCTACATGGAACACGTTGCAAAAAGACTGGAAAATAACTGATCTTATTCCATTGAACAAATTTAAGTCCAAAGTGAGAGCACTTGAGTCAACCTCTTGTAAATGTTTTTTATAATGAGTATGTAATGTGTATGTAATTCTTAAACTGTATATTTTGCTGCCTCTTGGCCAGGATTCCCTTGAAAAAGAGGTTTTTAATCTCAATGGGACTTTCCTGGTTAAATAAAGGTTAATAAATAAATAAATAAAACCCTTTTGTCAGAATTTCATATCGTCCCCCGGGGCCTCATCCCCCAGGGCCTCATCCCCCGGGGCCTCATCCCCCGGGGCCTCATCCCCTGGGGCCTCATCCCCCGGGGCCTCATCCCCGTCTTTAGGCTGAACACGTTTGTTTTTCAGAGTGAAGCTAAAAGTCCGTGAGAATGTAGAGGCTGCTGAAGCCCGGGGTGAGTGCAGCAGGAGCAGTAATGCGAGCTGACGTCTGTGCAGACATGGATGTGCAGGCAGCGTGTTAGCGTGTTAGCGTGTTAGCGTGGTGCACTGGTTACTGGGCAGAATGGTGCGGGCAAACCCTAACAGCAGAAGATTGATTCAAAGGTCTGCAATTTTACACTGGACTCAAATGATTTAATCTGCTTTTCCCAAGACTAGAAAAAACACAAAGATGTTGCAATAATGGTTTTTGTTTGATTACATTTTATTTATGTTCCTCTATATGTGAGAATAAGTGACGCTTTATACAGTAGTGCAGTTCTTTTTGAGTCTTAGTCCAAAACACATGCTTTTGGTCTGATATAAACATCAGGTGTGTCACTCTGGTGTGTGTCACTCTGGTGTGTGTCACTCTGGTGTGTGTCACTCTGGTGTGTGTCTGGTGTGTGTCTGGTGTGTGTCACTCTGGTGTGTGTCTGGTGTGTGTCACTCTGGTGTGTGTCACTCGGGTGTGTGTCTGGTGTGTGTCACTCTGGTGTGTGTCACTCTGGTGTGTGTCACTCTGGTGTGTGTCTGGTGTGTGTCACTCTGGTGTGTGTCACTCTGGTGTGTGTCACTCTGGTGTGTGTCACTCTGGTGTGTGTCTGGTGTGTGTCACTCTGGTGTGTGTCACTCTGGTGTGTGTCTGTTGTGTGTCACTCTGGTGTGTGTCTGGTGTGTGTCACTCTGGTGTGTGTCACTCTGTTGTGTGTCTGGTGTGTGTCACTCTGGTGTGTGTCACTCTGGTGTGTCACTCTGGTGTGTCACTCTGGTGTGTGTCACTCTGGTGTGTGTCACTCTGGTGTGTCACTCTGGTGTGTGTCACTCTGGTGTGTGTCTGGTGTGTGTCTGCTGTGTGTCTGGTGTGTGTCTGTGGCCTTCAGCTGCTGCTGTTCTAGACTAAACTATGTGGTCCAGAGACGCTGGTCTTGTGTGTGTAGAACCCATGTGCTGCTGCTTCTCTCTCTCGACTTCAAACACAGATACAATCTCTTTAACATTTCCAACAGTGCCACGTGCACAGAAGCATTAGTGAAGGTGTTAAAAACATTCTTCAGTCATTATTTAGAAAATGTGATTAAAAAGAGGCTCATGAGGCTCTGAGCCTGAAGCTCGTTACAGCTTTAGTCAATAACTCTATTGTTTTCCATAAATAGGTCTCAGGAGTTCATTAGCTCTGGAAGAAATCACATGGACCTGGACTCGGTCTTAAAACGGTCCTGTCCTTTACAACTGCAGCACCTCCATCTGAGGAACAGTCAGTCTGCTGAACGCGAGCCAGTGTTTACATTTTAAAGTCCATATGAATAAAAACTGCTCACCTTCCATGTGTGTGTGCGCGTCTGTGTGTGCGCGTGTGTGTGCATGTGTGTGTGCGCGTGTGTGTGTGCGTGTGCACGTGTGCGTGCGTGTGCGCGTGCGTGTGCACGTGTGTGTGCGCGTGTGTGTGCGCGTGTGTGTGCACGTGTGTGTGCACGTATGTGTGCACGTGTGTGTGCACGTGTGTGTGCACGTGTGTGTGCACGTATGTGTGCACGTGTGTGTGCACGTGTGTGTGTGCATGTGTGTGTGCGCGTGTGTGTGCATGTGTGTGTGCGCGTGTGTGTGCGCGTGTGTGTGCGCGTGTGTGTGCGCGTGTGTGTGCGTGTGTGTGTGTGCGTGCGTGTGCACGTGTGTGTGCGCGTGTGTGCGCGTGTGTGTGCACGTGTGTTTGCACGTGTGTGTGCACGTATGTGTGCACGTGTGTGTGCACGTATGTGTGCACGTGTGTGTGCACACGTGTGTGTGCACGTGTGTGTGTGCACGTGTGTGTGCACGTGTGTGTGTGTGTGTGCGCGTGTGTGTGTGTGCGCGTGTGTGTGTGTGCGCGTGTGTGTGTGCGCGTGTGTGTGTGTGTGTGTGCACGTGTGTGTGCGCGTGTGTGTGCACGTGTGTGTGTGCGCGTGTGTGTGTGCACCTGTGCGTGTGTGTGCACGTGTGTGTGCACGTGTGTGTGCACGTTGCAATGATTGGTATGAAAGAAAACCTTTTCAAAATCCTTTCCTGAAGGATTTTTTATCTGCGTCAGAACCATGTGTTGTAATTGTTTGTGGCTGACCTTTTATTGTCCCGATAAAATGAGTTTATATAAATCAGTATCAAGTTTATTATAAAAGTAAAGTTTGACATTTTACTGTTGTAACAACAAGAACTGCCTTTTCTTTCCACAATAATGAAGATAAAAAATAAAATCTCATCTAAACACTTTCAATGGATTTTCCTCTAAAATCAGACAGAAGCCGACACTGGGACAGGTCTGTTTTATATGATTCTTTTTCTGAGTCCCACAGTGGCTCTGGGCCTGAAGGTCCTGGGTTCGATCCCACCGTAAGACCTACTTCACGACTCCCACTGATAACTGCTGTCGTTGTGTCCTTGGGCAAGACAAAGATGTTAAAAACCAAAGCTGGCGTGGTCTAAATGGGTCCAAACTGTCGATACTGAGACACGGAGATGTCCAGTTTATGAATCATCTTCCCTCATGTTTTTCCTCGCAGTAAACACACATTTACGGGAACCATTTTGAATGACACATCAGTTTTCTGTTTCCTGCAGTGAAATGTGTAAAGTGCAACGTCACAACCACTTCAATCCTTCTGCTCAGACCACATTAAAGCCTGAGCCACTGGAGCAGACAACAAGGGCCTTTCAGAACAACGAGCAGCGAACCCAGTGCTAAGACACGGCGCTCGAGATTAGCATTCGCTCATCTGTTTCCTCTTACTCACGGAGAGATGAGTCGGAGATGCCAAACTTCTCACAGCGACAAGTACAAGTGTATTGATAAGTTTCTGGGTTGCATATGGGATCACTTCATTTCGGATCCACCCACCGTGACTCATCCAAAGGGATTTAATTGTATAAAATAGGACTTTTCCTGCGGTCTTCATCTGATGCAGGATCGTTATGTCTCACATGTTGCTTTGGTCTGTGGATGATTGTAACGTGAACCCAGCCCCTCCTGCTCACGGGGGTTTCCTCCACCACACGGACTGTTGTGACGAGCCACGGAGCAGTTTGTAATTGTTATGTTTGTCATTTTTACGGATGTTCAACGTGTCTGAAGTCGATCTGTGGCAGTAATCTGTCCTTTATAGTGATTAATAAACAGTCGTAGCTTGTCAATGTCTAAGTCTTGTCTTATCTTAGCCATCATTGAATTAGTTTTTCTTTTATTGTAATTATAGTTTTTACTGCAGCTCAACATACACATTTGTTACAGCTTTTCATCTTGTATTGTATCAGATAAATGTTCTCTTTTGTTTAACCTAAACAAGACCATATTCTGGCACCATTCTGACGGATCTAATATTTTTGCAACAAAATATATTCAAATGTTTCATCATCATAGAAATCCAAAGCCAAGTCAAGTTTCCAAATATATTCTTGCATGGAGCCCCAGAGGAGGAGGTTGTCAGTGTGTTGTATGTTTTTCATTTTCTAATAATTGCTCCACAGTTGATTTCTTCACACCAAGCTGCTTACCTGTTGCAGAGTCTTCCCAGCCTGGTGCAGGTCTACACTGTTGTCCCTTGACAGCTTTGGTCTTAGTGGAGTTTGGAGTGTGAGTGTCTGTGGACAGGTCAAACAGGTTTAATGCAGGAAATGACAGACTCTTAAAGAAGGAGCTACAGTCTGTGGCACTTTGGTCTTAAAGAAGGAGCTACAGTCTGTGGCACTTTGGTCTTAAAGAAGGAGCTACAGTCTGTGGCACTTTGGTCTTAAAGAAGGAGCTACAGTCTGTGGCACTTTGGTCTTAAAGAAGGAGCTACAGTCTGTGGCACTTTGGTCTTAAAGAAGGAGCTACAGCCTGTGGCACTTTGGTCTTAAAGAAGGAGCTACAGTCTGTGGCACTTTGGTCTTAAAGAAGGAGCTACAGTCTGTGGCACTTTGGTCTTAAAGAAGGAGCTACAGTCTGTGGCACTTTGGTCTTAAAGAAGGAGCTACAGTCTGTGGCACTTTGGTCTTAAAGGAGCTACAGTCTGTGGCACTTTGGTCTTAAAGAAGGAGCTCAGTCTGTGGCACTTTGGTCTTAAAGAAGGAGCTACAGTCTGTGGCACTTTGGTCTTAAAGAAGGAGCTACAGTCTGTGGCACTTTGGTCTTAAAGAAGGAGCTACAGTCTGTGGCACTTTGGTCTTAAAGAAGGAGCTACAGTCTGTGGCACTTTGAGTTTTAGAAATATTGTTTTCTAGAGTATTAGCAGTGTTCGTGTTCACCATGGTGGGTTCACATCCCTGACCTCGTTGCTTGTCTCGGTTAAGAATTTGCAAAACAATGTATCCTTGATTGTGGTGCTGAGGTTTGAAAACAAAAAAGATGATTACTATTGTTTTATTTTTAGAATTATCCATTTTATTTATTTTTGCTGCTCTGAACACCTGCATTTCTCCCACAGGGATCCATAAAGTCTCTTTGGATCAAAATGGTTTCTTCCAGAATTGTTCTGTCTTTACTGAACAACTTGATCTAAACTTACACACACGTTAATATTAAAAGGTGTGTGTGTAAAAACAAAACATTGCTTGTTTCAGCTCTGATCATATGAAAGCTGCTAATGATCCCAGTCCACGGCTGCTGTGAGTGTTTTGGACCATGTGACCCGCTCACATGGTTATTATTATATTATTGTTATTATTTATATTATATTATGTATAATAAATATATATTATAGTTGTGTTTAGGATCGTTCTGTGGATGAAGTCGGAGGAGGCCGATAACTTTGTTCTGCAATTATTGTTTTAACCCGAACCACAGAGATGGCACCAGTGTGGATGTGGAGGACTGTTTATTTATAGATCACACATTTTCAGCAGGCTCAGCAGGACACACACATGCACACACACAGAGGCAAGCACACACATAACAAAGAC